TTGGCATAAGGTCCTCAAAATATCAGGGTCAACCCTACACTCTTGCGAACTAAAGATTGTGACATAGTGCCAAGAACTTGGCAGTCTCCACATCGAAATTTTCAATGATTTCAAACCATACTAGCCACAATACATTCCCTCATGGTCTCTAACAATGCAACGGAGGCCAATGAAGCCCTCAATCGCTCGAACTGCATCATCAACATTGAATTTCAGTTGGCATGGGTTTGCCAACAGACATGCTCCACCGGCCAACATTTTGGTGCCAAAAATGAAGCTTCTATTGCCGCAATACATTCCAAAGTATCTGCCTATACGCTTAAAAAATGGTGCCTCGGGCCAATCGTCGAGCTTTACTTCTATTCTTTTTTTTTTTTTTTTTCTTTCTGTAGCGTGCAATATTTTATTCATCTAAATTTCGTGGCAATAAATTATATTCACTTAGTCACTAAAGAGACAGAAATTAAAAAATTTAGTTGAAAAGATAATAAATATACTTCATTTTAATAAAATAAAATGCTTTAAGTGAAGAGAGAACATAATTAAAGATTGAAATAGTCTTTGCTTGCTTAGCCCATTTTGAACTACACCCATTTCATAAAATTTATTTATGTCAAATTTATTTTCAATCCCGTATTTTATAAGATCTATAACTTATATTAATTTTTAAATTATATATTTTTTTATTAAATTAATCGAAACCAAATAGGGACTTAGTCTCTCCGAACCAAGCTATCGTTGGAATCCATAGCGTGGGCAAAGGCGTGGGGACGAGACAGTCAAATGTATTTTGTTTAAAGAGTTGTGTGACTAGGCTTTTGATAAAACATTTACAAGGTTTTGATTAAAAATATTATATTTTGTGGTTAAAAAATTAAGACCATAATTTTCGTAATGCAAACGCATTCTAAGAACAATTAATAATGATATCTTTCATCACTCTAGGTGACAATAGGTCTAGATTGATGATCATCATCTTTTATAATAGAAAGTAATGATATTTATCATTAGTAGAAATAATCATCGATTTAGCTGATAGTAAACATTTTAATTCATTGTTCTATATATTAAAATGTGTCATGGTTTCATTGGACAATGAATCAAGGATTTGCTACCTCGTAGACTGATAATGATCACTACTAATGATAAATAATATTACTCAATAATAGATCGCATTACTTTAAATAATATAACTAAATAATTGTTGCTACTTTGCCATTTGATAGTAATTCAGCGCTACATGGATTGCTATTCATTATCACAATCAATTAATAGCATTATTCTGTATTAACGAGTAATGTTATGTAACATCATCAGTGCATTACTTTACATAGCAACATAATAACATTAACTCATAAGTCCAATGAGATGATGTTGGACCTATAATTCAAAAGTAATGTTATTTATCACTATTGGTATTAAGAATTTGTTTGTACGTAATGATAGTAAGATCGATTTCATATAATTCAATGAAGTTGAAATGCATTTTTGTTTATTCAATATTATTATTGTCCACTATCACATAGACAGGCGATAAATACAATATTAATAAATATCATTATTCATAATTCAATACCTCTACGTTACTACATAGACTTGTGTTAAACGCCGGTGTTACAAAGAATTTTTCATTATTCTAAGTTGTTGAAAAGTTAAATTTACAAGACTACAACTAGTCTACGCTATGACCATTTTAGAAGTTTCATCTCTAAATCTAAATATCAAATCAATCCTCAATTTTTTCCCCTCAACTTTTTATTACAGTCAGAGAATTATATATACCAATGGCTCAATATAATTATTTTTAACTTCAAATTTCTAAGCAAAAGCTTAAAATAAAAAACAAATACAGTTTCATAAAGTTTGACATGTAATGGATAATGATGATTTTACAGAAATTCGAACCATTAGTCTTGCAACTACAGTCAAATGTTAAGGATTAAGTTGCTCATCTTAAAATTTTATAAACAACTAGCTAAACAAGTAAATAAGTTGGGGGACCAGTAGTGAAATTTTGCATTATTATTCTAGAAAACAAAATTCCAATACCGGTGGCGGAAAAAAATTACAGAACAGTCAAAAAAGAACGAGGACATTCTGCTGATTTATGTGAAAATCAAGGGAAAAAATTGGGTCAAGGTTCCCATAGTAAAACATATAACCGTTGTTCTCCCTAGTTTGTCTTTTAAAGAGAACACGACACAAACACAATACAACAGCACAGCTTGAAACTTTAGATAAGGAGAAAGGAGAAATGGATTCAGATTTTGGAATGGTAAGAGAACTATCAGAATTACAAAAGCTTCGATCTCACTACCAACCTCAACTCCCTCCATGCCTTGAGGTCTGCTACTCTGCTTCCATTTTTTTTTTCAACTGATTGCTTATGTTATAGCATTCCTGTTGTATTGCCAACTCTTTTGATGCGATATTTGTTAATTTCGCTTCGATGTTTGAATTGAGATTGCTTGGAGATACCTTCTTTCCTGCGCGGTGATTTTTATTGTTTGTGGATGCATGTTAACGTCCAGGAAGTAGACCTGACGTGTTAGATCCCTGTGTATCCTGTAATTTATTTCTCGTACTTCTCATGAATGTGATGTGTCTTTCTTTTCGAACAGAATCATTGCTAGAGTAGTTGACATCAAGTTTTATGCCATTCAGCATCTATCAAGACTAAAAGTTTCTCATATACACCAGCAAAAAGCTGAGTTTATGGACAATCCACTGTGTATACATGAATATTCAATTTTCTTCAAATTATCGGACTTCGTTGGTCTTCAGAAACCCCAAAAACAAAACAAAAAAAGGGACTATTATTTTGCATTACCTAACTTGGAGATAAATTTGGCCTGTGATAAAGAAAAAAAAATGTAATTTGAGCTATATATTTGTCATATGATTTGGTTGTCCCTGAAATTTTCCTTGTAACTTGTACGGACTACAACTGCCCCTTTTTGTGAAGTTTTTGCCTTTATCTTTCCTATTTCCCTCCCTCCCTCTCTCTCTCTCTCTCTCTCTCTCTCTCTCTCCAGGAATTAGATTTTATCGCTTCAACCATTTATTGCACTTTTATTAATTTACTCTAAATTGGGCAGGGAACTGCTGTCCGTGTAGAGTTCGGTGATGCATCCACAGCTGCTGATGCCTCAGGTGCCTACGCCATAAATAGGTCCTTTCCTCACACTTATGGTCAGCCTTTAGCTCACTTTCTTAGGGCAACTGCCAAGGTCCCTGATGCTCACATAATTACCGAGCATCCAGCAATCAGGTAGAAATGTTATTATAGCTATATATTTCTGTCACTTCCAGGGACAAATGATGTTTCCATTATATATAAATTTTGTTATTACTGTGTACTAAAATGTAATTGTTTCTCTTTTTTCCTTCTTAGGGTGGGAATTGTTTTCTGCGGTAGACAATCGCCAGGAGGACACAATGTCATATGGGGTCTTCTTGACGCTCTAAAAATTCACAACCCCGATAGTGTTTTGCTTGGATTTTTGGGTAAGGCGTTCTGTCTCTCTCCTCAGTATGCTGATGTTCCTTTCCGCCCTAGTACATCTTGTCTGCTTGGAGCTCTAGCCCTGATGTATTTTCATGCATATAATGAATATCCTTTATGAATTCATTAATTATGAGATATTTGGTAGTTCTTGTTATACTGTTGTCAGGTCAATGGTGGGCTGTTTTGTGATACATTCCCCTTTTATTGTCCCGTGGTAGATATGCTTCTCAAGCACAAATGGACAGTTTTCTAGACTAGATAACATATACAGCTAGATGATTCCATGTCCTTTCAAGGAGATCAATAATTTAAAGCTTTTGTGTGTATTACCAGGTGGCTCTGAAGGTTTATTTGCACAGAAAACTCTAGAGATCACCAATGATGTTCTTGCAACCTACAAAAATCAAGGTTGGAGTGGGTTCTAGTCAATATCCCTACCAATCCATAAATGTCATTTTCAGACCTAAATAACTTCTTTCGGATTTTGTCATGTTAAGGTGGTTTTGATTTATTGGGACGGACGAAAGATCAAATTAGAACAACTGAACAAGTCGATGCAGCTCTGAATGCATGCACAACTTTGAAGTTGGATGGTCTTGTCATTATTGGAGGTATCCCCTATGCTGTCTCCTAATGTTCATGATAAGCAAGATTCTATAAATTCTGTTATTCTGACTTAAGTATATTGTGCATTTTAAGGGGTGACATCAAACACAGATGCTGCTCAACTTGCAGAAACTTTTGCAGAAAGAAAATGCTCAACAAAGGTACATCATGCATGCAACACGTTATGCTTAATCAGGCTGTTAACTACAATTGTTATCACTATATGGTGGTTGTATGATATTTGTTATCACTATATGGTGGTTGTGTGATATTGTCTAATAATTATGTGTTTCAGATAAATATCTTGATGTTGAGGTTAGAAGGTTTTTAATAGAAAGCTGTTGATTTCATTTTGCGTATTGTATTGACAAACCATGATAGAACCAAGTGATTTCCAAATTTCTGCAGGTTGTCGGAGTTCCTGTTACATTAAATGGGGATCTCAAGAACCAATTCGTTGAAGCAAATGTTGGTTTTGACACAATATGTAAGGTATTGATAATCTGATCACAATCTCTTATAGATTCTTTCGGCTTTTGCTTGGCTTCTTCTTCTTTTTTTCCTTGTGGCAGTGGGGTAAACTGTTGGATTTTCTCTTACATGACTAGTTTACATGTTTCTCTTGTGTTGACACATCGTATTCCAAATACATAGATGTGGGCGATTAGATACGTGTAATGTAAAAAAAATAAAAAAAATCCTCTTTTTCGTCTATCATGCCATCTATGTCCATTAAGATACATTATCATTTTCATGCTCAGGCTTCTTTGTTATGGATTATTTATGGCAGTATGTTCAAATTGGGAGCATTGTTGTAATCTTTTATCCTTAATTTACATCAAAAGTAAATAATCACGAGAACTGAGTTTTTACTTGTTTGACTTATTTTAGGTCGATTCCCAGTTGATCAGTAATGTCTGCATTGATGCCGTTTCTGCAGGGAAGGTACATGATTAAATTATATATTCTGCCTGTTTGTAACTTCCTTTAAGATTCCATCCAATGTTCATCTTCATTTTCTTGGAGAATAACATGGCTGTTTGTTTTTTGAAGGGAAGAAAGAAGCTAACTCATGATTTTTTATTGTTTTTCTTGCATATTTGAGTTACTATAGGCTTTAAAGTAACATTTGAAATGTGCTGCACAAATATTCTTTTGCGTACTTATTTATGTATAATTCCCTTGTTGCCCCTTTTTCTTATCATCCTTTGTTTTCTGTTCAGTATTATTATTTCATCCGACTCATGGGCCGAAAGGCATCACAAGTTGTCCTGGAATGCGCTCTCCAGTCACATCCAAACATGGTTTGTTGTTTCCTCTATTAGGTTCTAAAATTTTGTTGGAACAGCTAGCCGTCTTCTAGGTATTTTTTGTCTTCAATAGCAGTAAGCATCAAGCATTCTTGCAGGTTATTCTTGGTGAGGAGGTTGCTGCATCAAACCTTACAATTTTTGACATAACAAAGCAAATATGTGATGTAGTGCAGGCCAGGGCTCAACAAGGTAGAATTAGAATCTTTTGGATGCTCTTATCAAGATTCCTGGTGCTATATCTACTATTACCACCTTATTGTGTTATTTGGTTCAGATAAGTATCATGGTGTGATCCTACTGCCAGAGGGTCTCATAGAAAGCATTCCTGAAGTTTATGCTCTATTGCAGGTACATTTGCTCTTGATTGCTCTTTAGTTCCTTATGCCTCTCATCCCATCACCACCAACCTTTCCCCCTAAATAAACTGATAACTTTAGTGATGCCATGCTCCCCGTCAAATCAGAAAGAGAGGGATGAAGCTGTTTTCGTATCTGTCACTGGTTTTTTTAGTACTTTCTGGAGCTTAAATTACCTATCGCAGTTCCATTTGTATACATTCAGTATTTTGATTTGGTGTGAAAATCTTGTACCTCCCAGGAAATCCATTGTTTGCTTAGGCAAGGCGTCTCTATTGATAAAATTTCTTCTCAACTATCACCTTGGGCATCTGCATTGTTTGAGTTCTTGCCACCTTTTATTAGAAAACAGGTACATCTTTATATCTTGATTCATGCCATTATTTAATTTTCATGTATATCTTCCTTAAACTAACTGTAATGTTATAGCTCCTTCTCCACCCAGAATCAGACAACTCTGCGCAGCTGTCCCAGGTAATGGAATTTCCCAATTTTGATGTTGATGTGAGATGAGTGTTCAAATTTGAGCCTGTTCAGTATCATGTCTTCTGTTTCCTTGACAGATTGAGACAGAAAAGCTCCTAGCACATCTTGTTGAAGCAGAAATGAACAAACGATTGGTAAGCAGCATCTATACTCTTAGTTGCCTACATCATTTGATGCTAACTGAAGTAAATTATTTATTTTATCCTATAAAATAGAATGCCTTTGTGTTCATTTTATATCAGTTTAGATTATTATTGTTGTTCATCCGCTAACCATTTAAGATGAAGGTTCATCTTTGTCTGCATGGTGAATTTAGGATAATTGCAAACTGAAAAATAATTGACTTTTTATGCATCATTGCGGTTCTCTATGTTTTCATCTGTACAGAAAGAAGGAACCTACAACGTAAAGAAATTCAATACCGTTTGTCACTTCTTTGGTTATCAGGCACGGGGATCATTACCATCAAAGTTCGATTGCGACTATGCCTATGTAAGTTATAATGCCTATGATCGATTTAATGGGAAAATAGATTCATTACAACTAAAAATTGTGTCTTTGTTATACAGGTTCTTGGTCATATCTGCTATCATATTCTGGCTGCTGGTTTGAATGGTTATATGGCAACTGTAACCAACCTGAAGAATCCTGTGAACAAGTGGCGTTGTGGTGCTGCTCCTATAACAGTAGGTTCCATATAACTTCAATATGTTCTATCATAGCAAGAACTTGCATGGAGATAAAACCATTAATTTATGGTTCCTTTGTTTTATGCGGCTTCCTTTTCTCCTGCCTTGCCTTGTGAAATTGTAATGACTGCATCGAGCAATAAAGTTGAATATGTTGGGTGCTTGTAACTCCAGGCCATGATGACAGTTAAACTTTATGGACGTGGTAATGGGGCCTCTTCACTTGGAAAGCCGGCTCTGCATCCTGCAACTGTGGATTTGAAGGGCAAGGCTTATGAGTATGCCATTTCTTTGTTTACTTACCTGTTACATGTGAAATCTGAAAAATGAATTCTGAACTCTTTTCATCCTGATCCTTCTTTCTTTGCTGACCAAGAATTCAGTGCTTTTGTCTCTAGCTTGACGACTTTTATTGCAGGCTGTTGAGACAAAATGCAGCCAAGTTTTTGATGGATGATGTTTATAGAAACCCAGGACCCCTTCAGTTCGATGGTCCAGGTGCTGATGCTAAGGCTGTAACCCTGTGTGTTGAAGACCAAGATTACATGGGTCGTATCAAGGAATTGCAGGAATACCTTGACAAGGTTGTCTTATCTCAAGGCTTTATTTCATTAGAATTCTCCTTTATGACTTTGATAATTGTGTGGGATTCGATATATTGTTCCTGAGTTACATTTCATTTTTGTTGACCTCTCTTTTCCAGGTGCGTTCCATAGTGAAACCTGGGTGCTCTCAAGATGTTCTGAAGTCTGCTTTAAGTGCCATGTCCTCTGTGACAGACATTCTGTCTGTGATGTCCTCACATTAAAGCGCTCCTTTCTAGTGGTGCATAATTTTTGTACATCCTTCTGAGGAACTTCGATGGGGAATTGAGGAATCCACTTTTAACATTGTCTTGATCTTGTATACTTCTTGAGAGATAAGATGCGTCATTTAACATAGTTTTATCTACCCTTTTTGTCTTTTATGCTTTTTCATCCTTTCTGTAGTTTTGACATCAGAATTATGTTTGAGAGGATTGCTGTTGCGTTGTACTTAATATTGTTGGGTTGTGTGCCCATATAGTATATTTTGCTATGATAAAATAATTATTTATAATAAATAAATTATGATTTTATTTATTTATTGCATTTATATATATTGAACGTAGGAATTAAAGTGCCTATGATTACTTATAATAATATAAGTTGGGTATTTGCGTTAAGAAGTACAGTGTGACACAACTTATATTTTGATTATAAATTATTTGTTCACAACCAATGTATAAGGGCTGACACCTTGTACTGGAAAGTTGTAGTGTTAACCGATTTATTATTCAGGTTTGTAATTTGTCCTTATCACGAAAAGTAAAGGATAACTTATATACTTGGAGTGTATTGAACGAACTATGTGTTGAGTTTAATTCTATAGTATGACCCCGTGGAGAATTAAATTCCACCATACTGTCGTATATTTCATCTAAATCCTTTGACAGGATTACGTATATATTTTCATGATTTTAATAGTTATTTCATTCATCAATGGGAATGGGAGAGATAATTTTGATTGGTCAAATATCTTGATGAGTTGGAAACTTGAGAATGAGCGGAGTAGAGAACATGAATTCGTGTCGGGAATCGGCACCCTGAAAAATGGGGTAAATTGACTATTCAAATATTTTTTGTTGAACGGTTAAAATCTGAGTTCAGTGTTTAGCGATTACTAAATTCGATGTCTGTGATTAATTCATAAGACCGTTAAAAAAAATAATACTTAAGTTAGTGAGAATAATTAGAAGAGCAAAACGGTCATTTATGCTAATTTCTAATTATCGGGTCTTGGACGGGAATAAAATACATATGCAGCAGGTCTGAGGAAAGTATTATAGATTTAATGGCTTCTGTGATTTTATATATTTCAAGAGTTCAATTTTTTATCTTTAGTAGAAAAAAGCAAAAACTAATAATTAGATTGAATAGTTTAAGGTCAACTATAAATGATCTAGTTATTGTAGCTTGGATAATATATGTCCGATCAGGTCCTTATGATAGCTCCATAAAGTATTAAAACTTAATTGGGATAATTATAATAGTTTTAGGCTTAGTTGTAATTATAATAAAGTTTTGTACTCAATTATAATTACTATGAAAGTTGTAAACTTAATTATAATTGTAATTGAAGTTATAAGACTACACATGTAATTAAATTTAAGTTAAATGAATTTGAATTTGAATTAAAACTCCTACTTGGATTTTAATTAGAAGACTTATTTGAATGTGAAATTATTATCATACAATGATTGTAATTATTCTATCTCTATAAATAAAATATTGGATCGAGCTGTACTTACAGGGAGGACTCTTACATACGTTTTACAGATCAGCCACAATGGGTGGGGTCGATGGTATTTTTGGCCATTTTTTAATGCATCGGGTCCCGCGTGGGCCCGACCTCCGTGAGAGTGACACGTAAAAGGTCTGTAACTTCATCATCTATACATCCAATTTAATTCTAAAATATTAGATAGAAACTAGACATTTTATGAGATTGTATAATAGTCATAATACATAATTTCATGGTATTCAAATTTGGAGAGAGAAATAGAGAAAGGAAAAAAATTATTTTCTTATCTTATTTAATTGTCCAGTTCAAAATTTAGTTTATTGATTTGATTAAAAAGAAAGTGACCACCTTTCAATGTAATCTTGGCTATGGAGAATAACATAGAAGATTTGGAGGAAGTTATTAGAATTAAAAAGTTGGAAATTCGAGATTTAGAATTTATTCAAAAACTGACCATCGAATTTAGGTAAAAATTCGAATATTTAATTCTTGATATAACATACACATAAATATCTAGAGTATCTTGTTTATTGAATTAATTTTTTTTTTTTTTGGATAATTCTGCTTCCGCATTCCAATAAATATATGAATCATGTTTGATCTTTAGTCTTCGTTAATGTCTGGACAATTGTAGATTAATTTAATAGAAATTTTGCAGAATCAACTGGAATGTTGTAGATGAAAGGAAAATCTAAGAAGAGTTTTGATGGTATATTTCAAAGGATTACTTAGCTCGACCCCATGTAGGGACAATTGCTCCGTAATATAGACCTATTTTAGCTTGTTGTTCTCTATTTTGTCAATCTATAGTGCCCGACCTTGATTTGTGTGTTACAGTCCTTTTTGAAGAGATTTAGCTCCTATTCGAGCCACATTCATCTAAAAATTCATTTTAACAAACTTATTTTCAACCACAAATTCTTCAATAAAATAATATTATGAGTGAACTCAAAACTTTTCCATAATTTGTAACCACACATTCTCCATCAATCTATTATTCAAAATGCATTCTTATCACAAAAATAGGGTTCAAACAAGAGCTTAATGTGTTGAGGTTCAAGTTAAACAAGGATGACCCTAGAGCATAGCATGTGGTCTATGTCATCATTATAAATTTACGGGGATTTGCATACATAATCAAATAAAATTAAGGGCTTGTTTGGTAGTAATTATGAAAATTGATTTTTTGATCGTTAGAGAGAAAAGTAGGTCCCGTCTGTAAGTGAAGAAGTAAAAAATGACTACTGAAATAGTAAAATAACAATCAAAAAATTAATTTTTTTGTGTGAAAAATTGCTACCAAACAAGAGCTAAATGACCTTTTTTCCTTCTATCTAAATTGAAGTAAGAGGGTATCCATTAACCCCAAAAAAAAAAAAAGAAAAAAAAAAAGCTTTGGAGAGTTAGTTTTGATAAAAGTTGGTGAAATAAGTTTAAACTAATGGTGTGTTTACGTTGCTGTTTTTAAGTATTTTTAGTTTTGAAACATTGAAAACATGTTTGGTCTAATATTTTTGAAAATATATTTTCAAAAATAAGGTTAAACTTATGACAAAAAAACTCAAAATGATTTTTTATGTTTTGAGATAAATGAAATTTTATTTAAACAAATATTTAAGAATTTTAAATTAAAAAATAAAAATCTAAAATCTAGAAAAAATAAATCTATAATTTTAAAAAAGTTTAAAAAAATAAAATCTAAAATTTTAAAATAATAAGGCCTCATTTGGTTTGTGTTTCGATTTTCAGTTTTCAATTTTGAATTCATTTTTATGTTTTTTGTTTGTGGTCTGTTTTAAAATTTCTAAAAACTTGTTTGGTTTGATATTTTGAAAATTATTACTCAAAACAAATAATTTGAAAATATATTTGGTTTGAAATTTTGAAAAATTATTTTATTATGTTTTATTCCATTAAATTTGATTAATTAGTAAAAATATTTTACGTTAATATATTATCAATTATTATATACATTTTAAAATTGGTGTATCTTATAATATTTTTTTATAAAATAATAAATAATAAATTAACCTCAAAATATAATAAATAAAAAAAAAAACTAATGCATGGATTAAAAATAATTTTGTTTGCGTTCGTTTAAATTTTTTTTAAAAAAAATTTATCTGAAAAATCATAAAAAGTTAGGATTATTTTTATTTTTTATTTCTCTAAAAAAATTTATAATCTTTATTTTTTCAAAAATTTAATTTTAATTTTTTAGAATTTCAATTTTTTAGAAATCCTTTTTTTAGAATTTTAGAATTTATTTTTTAGAACTTATCGATTTTATTTTTTGAATTTTAATTTTTAAATAGTTTTGAAAAAATTTCTGTTAGAATTTTATATTCTTATATTTCATATTTTTTATTTTATTTAGATGCTTGTTTTCTTTATTTTGAGTGTTTTTAAAATTTTCACTAAAAACACTTGAAACGTCAAAAATGTATTTTCAGTTTTACGTTCTAAATTTATCCTTGTTTTTTGAAATTACAATTTTTGTAAAACAAGTTTTCAGTGTTTTGTAAATTTGAAAACGACTTGAAAACCAAATTAGGATTCTAAAAAATAAAAAATAAAATATTAAAATTTCTAGAAAAATAAAAATAAGTCAATTTTTAATCATTATATCCTTAAAAATTTAATAATTTTTTAAAAATAAATACATATAAAATTATTCTCTGTCCACTTTGATCATTTTTATTTTTTATATTTTGAACTTAACTTATTATTTATTTTTATCCTACTTATGCAACAAGAAGAATTTATATATATATATATATATATATATA